AACCAAACAAAAAGGAATGAACAAAAGAAGAAGAATAAATCAAAAAGCAGATCAAAAATAAAAAACGCAGAGCCTCAAACAGAATAAATGGAAAAGTGAATTCATTCCAGGAGAACAATCTTTCAATCTCATTTTTTCTTTCTCACTGATTGTCTTGAAGCCTGGGTTTTTCCTTTGGTACTTGGAGGTGATCCTTTCTCAAGTGGTCTCAGTATGACCTTGAACCGTATTGGAGGTTTCTGAGGGACTTCTTCATCCTCTTGACTGTGTTTCACCTGAGTTTGAGTAACATGATCATCTGTTTCATCAGCTAGAGACTGATTACCAGTTTGATTGCCAAGAGACTGTTCACCAAGAGCAAAAGATTGATCACCACCGTCTTCGCCAGTATGATCACCAAGAGAAAAGGTTTGATCACCACCGTCTTTGTTGCCATCTTTGCCACAAGATTGATCACCATGGGATTCAAGAGATTGATCGCCAAGCACAAAAGATTGATCACGAGATTTGCCACAAGATTGATCGCCAAGCACAAAAGATTGATCACCATGAGATTTGTTGCCAACCGAGAGGAATGATTTGTCTATTTCCAGTGTGACTTCTGCATCCAAGGAACACTGTTGTTTGGTGTCTGGTTCTTTTTGGTCTATTGCATACTTTTGAGCAATCTGTGCATTCATTTGAGAGGCGAGTTGTGCAATTGGAGTTGTTCCTTTGAGTGGTGAAGTGTAATTTTTTGGAGCATTACCCGTAGTTGTTGAAGGCGATTTTTCTCTGGCCTGGGATGTGACAGTAGTTGGAGGAGTAGATTTAACTTTGTTTGTGGGTGGTGTGGGGAATTAACGTCAAGCTGTGTGATGTGGGTCAAAATTGACTTTCATCTCCTTGGAAGGGGACATCGCCAGCAGCTTCTGGGATTTTTGGCTACAATTTTCTGAATCGCGTTGGTTGACATATTCTTCCTCCGAAGGTGTTCAATCGCGCAATAAAGGAGCAGCTTGTGTTTTTCTTCCACTCCGGCAATCAAACTGGGAACCTGATTGATCTGTTCTGCATAGCCATCATTCTCGGCGTCGTTGTGTAACCAAATTGCGGTCAAACTACCCTTGTCAGCTGAGATGTTAGCACTTCGAAGGACCTTACACCAGTAGTGATTTTGTTGCCAGTAGCCTCGGGAGATCAGAGTGTATGTGGCGCCTCCAACGTTAATCTTGAACGGCCAATCGATTGATCCCATAAAGTTATTTTTCTGTTTCTCGTCGGTTATGCTGGTGACATCTACATAGAAATTAAGATGAAGCGGGGCTCCATTTGCTGGGACAGCCAATCTTGATCAATCAATTATGTGGTGTGATGTCTTTTCGGAGGATCCAAGCAGCTTTACATTGTCGACATCGGAAGACACTTTTTGAATTTTGGTGTTCTTTGGGAGCTTCGGTTTTGGTTTGTTTGGATTGCAGTGTTTGCAGATCATACCCGAAGTTGCCAGCAATCCATTGGTTTGCCACATCTCGATTAGCTTTGATACATCAGAGTGAGGAATCCGATTCTCATCAAACATCTGCGGCTTGATTGTCAAGACATGAAGGGTGCGGTGATCTCGAGTGGGGTGCTTCTGCAATTTATTCAGCTGGAGTTCGCAGGTGAAAGTTTGATGTTCATCAATCGAGAAGAGCTGCTTATACTCATCCTTCTTGTGAAGTTGGGGATCCAATGCAACCTCAAGGAAGTAATCGCAAGAAGCAAACGCGCCAGGAAGGAATCGTCCTGGACATTTAGGACTGAGAACATTGAATACCATGTTTTGTCCACGCGTCAAAGTTGAACGAATTGTGTTACTGCCATTTAGTTCGCCAGTTGATTGACATGAGAAGTGATGAGCAATTGCGGTGAAGACATCCTTCCCATGACCGCTGATTCCACAGAGCCATAATGGGCTGAAAAGAGCATAAAGAGATTCAAGAAGCGGTTTCTTCGAGTTGGGTTGTCCTTATTTGCGTGGTAAGATGGATAAGCTGACCAGAGGCTTTTGTTGAAGTTTGTTAAATTGGGGGGCCTGCCAAGCTTTGCTTTTTTCTTCTTCTTTCCATCAACAAGCTCATCTGTTGTGTCTGGGGGCCTTCCATCATTGATGAACTTCCCTTTGCCACATTTGCGTTTCTTTGCGATACCAAGGGTGGTGCCAATGTCCGTGGTGGGGTTGGCCCCATAGGAAATCGGGATCCCCTTCATCGCAGCTTTCCAATCTTCTTCCAACATTTTTACAAAGGAGAACAGGTCAACCATTCCAACCATGGTGTACTGATTTCCGTCACTACATTACAACCAATAAATGAGCATCTTTCTTCATTGGGAAGCCTGCAAATAGTTCACAGGGGAATTTAAGCTTACCTGAGCCTGTAGTAGATCCGGTGCATACTCTCCTGGGCATTGGTAGTATTGGAAAGACCGTCAGGAGTATCCTCGAGTCGGGGTTGTCGCGATGGAAAGAGGAGGGCCTCAATGTCAGAAACCGTCCACCAATCAAGCCAGTTGCGAAATTTGGGATAACATCGCCTAAGGAAGTCCACCTTCTCTTCATGAGTCTTCCCGCCAGCTTCTTGGTGTTCCAAGAGATCCATGCATGCTTTTTGGAAAGGCTCCTGGGGGTATGTTACATTGAAATCAGTCAAATTATTAGGAGATACATCTCACCAGAGCAAAAATTACTCACCTCCTCGTCAGCAGTCATGAGAGCCCGATTACGCTTGATTCGTGTGACAGACTGGCGGAAATGCTCCCGACACCCTTTCAGCATGCGTCTCACCTCTTTTTGAGTTCCCTGACGAAAGACTTCCAGATACGCTGAGACAAATCCCTCGGCTTGAGCAGTGGAGAAGTCAACCACTTGGCGGACTAGCGTGTCACGTTCGGCAGGTGTTACTGGTGCGGCTTGAAACTGTCTGAAGAGTGTGGTGAAATGGAGTTTGTAGTATTCCTCACTCAACCCGCGGATCCAAGTCAGCTGGATAGGTATCCATCGGTGAAGGTCTTCGCAGTACATTGAGGTTGAGAGCAAGTAGCCTGTTTCGAAGTATCGGTACGTGACATTGGATATGAGACCCCCGCTGTAGACCTGATTATTCTCATCCCTAGCAAGTAGTCGATCGGCCATCCATTGGGTTTGGAATGTGAAGTGTTCATTCTGTGGAAAGAATGAAGCAGATGTTATCAACAAGCCACGCCTGTGAGAACAAATACAGTCAACACATTGGATCAGCAGTGTCTCAGCTTCCGATGAGACATCAAATAAGAAGAGAAATAACTC